GATCAATCCCACTATTCGTTGGTAAAAAGAGTAGCCCAAGAGTTGGCGGTGGGAGGTGATGACTAGCTGCCATCCTTCTAGCTATTCACTGCTAAATTAGGGACGGTTAGCGCAGAAAGTCCTCGAGTAGCTTCGAGAGAAAAAAAAAAAAAAAAAAACCTAAAAGATGACGCCACTTTCGCAGTGTAATCGATCACAAATTAGGATCAGATGAAGACAAAATTGGTCGTAATTCAATGCATTACACCAATACCTTTATTATTTTTTCAACTTTTTGTGTATTCCATTGGAAGTATACGTAAATGTACAGACTAATATTTATCAAAATAGGCCTAGCAACTGTACTTTGACAACTTCGTAGTTCGCTGACACGGGAAGTGTATTGATAGCCTAGGGACAGGATGGCACTCCATGGGCGTGAACAGATTTCGTGGTAACATTTGACAACAGGTGTTTTGGCTTGTACACCTCACATAATAAAATAATACCAATACACGTGTGTATGGTATTATTATTATTATTAAGCCTTTGACCGTGTGGGCGTTTTTAGGGCCTATTAGTCCCAACAGCACAGCATGATACACCACCCAAGTTGTTCACAGAACATAAAATTAATAGCTCTCTGTTATTTTAGTTAATTCTGTCGATTTATTCGCCTTTTTTTTTTTTTTACCGAACTGTCCCAATTTAAAAAAAAAATACCGTTTAGCATTAAAGAATCAATGTGGGCAAAAGTGTACTAGTTTTTATACTGACTAAGAATTACATCTTAAAATCAGTGAGAAGCATGTTCAAGTGACGGCCCTGTCGGAAAAGCATTTAAAAGCCGGTAAGACTTTACTTTTCGGAACATTTGAGAGTTTTGTACCAATTATCTGTTATATGTTGCGCATCATATACATTTAATACTTGTGCTATGTTTCGAGAATAGATCCCAACTACACTATCAGAGTGGTGATATTTTTATTCTTTCCCGTATGCCCTTTTTAACGGGTATTCAGACGCTCAAGAGCAGTCCAATTTTATTAAGGTTGGTGGGATCTGGGCTAGAAAAGTGGTTTCTGGATGTTATGTTACGCATCATATACATTTCATACTGATGTCAGGAAATGTCAAAGAAACCAGATACTCAGATAGCAATACAGTGCTATAGCAAAGAAGGTTCTGTATTGAGGTGTGGTGAACAACTACAGAATGAAAAAGGCATACAGGATGAGCAAGAAATTACGATGAGAGAGGTGTTAAAGTAGGAAACGTAATGGAAGTTTATAATATGGTTTCTGATATTA